CCCCCGCCGCTCTGGCGGCGCCTCTCGAGCGCCCCCTGCGGCGCGCGCGGGGCGGGCGGGGGCCGGGCCGGGCCGGGCCGGGCGGGGGGAGCGCCGGGAGCGCACACCAAGATGGCGACACCCGCAGTCCCTCCCGCAGCTCCCCCCGCGCCGCAGTCCGGCAGCGCCGCGCCGGGGCCGCGCTGAGCCCGCCCGAACACGGTGAGTCGCGGCCCCCGAGACCCCCGCGGGCTCCACCCGCCGCTCCCCTCGCCTCCGTGTTCTGCTGCATCCGTTCCCTCGCCGGACCCCTTCGCTCCCCTGCCCCGGGGGCTGTGCCGCAGAGCGCGGCCCGGGGACACCGGGGGCGGCTTGTGGGGCGGTGAGGGGTGGGGGGTGGGAGGGCCTGAGGAGACCCCAGCCCCAAATCCGCCGCGTCAGGAGGGTCCCGCAGCCTCGCCCCCTTCTCGGTGGATGCCCGGTCACCCCTCAGCCAGGGAAGGGGGTCTGGGGCCGGTTCTCAGCGCTGCCCGCGGGGGCTCCGGCAGCCGCTGCCCGGGCCGGGGAAGGTCCGTGTGCTGTACCCGGGACCCCCCGGCCCTGCGGGGAATGGGGGGGAGACGGTGCCGGGCCCGGCATCAGCATCCCCCGGGCTGGGTCTGGGAAGGGGCAACCACCCCCTGCGCCCATCCTGGACCTGGAGCCCCATTTGGATCTTTCCGTCTATTCCTGCATCCCTGCCTCCATCCTCCCGTCCGCCCCACAACCTGGGGGGCCCGCGGGACCCTCTTCCCACGCCCCAAATTCGGGGCCGTGCTCTTGGCACTGTAGGAAGGGAGAGCCCGAGTTCTCCTCGGTGTCCCTTCCCCCTCGGCCCTCGCTGCAGCGCTGCTCTGTCCCTCCAGCGCTCGGCGTGCACAGCATCCCCTGCCCGGGGACGGGGGGATCTCGGAGCACACGTTATTTTTGGGGGGATGACACGGGCAGAGGGATGCTTGGGGTAGCCTTGGTGTTGCAGCTGACCCAGATGTTGGGTCAGCATCGTGGTTGTGGCTCTTCCTTCCCTCTTTCCTTCCGCCACAGATTTTTTTTTTTTTTTTTTGGGGGGGGGGGGGGGGTGGGGGATGGGGAGGGCAGATTTGGTTTATATATATATATATTTTTTTTTTCCCCCCCGTCCTGCTGGGAGGGAATTGCACATTCACGAGGTTTTTCTATTAAAAAATCTGGGTGTCTTCCTCCCCTCCCCCTGCGTTCTGGTGCAAACTGATGCCCAGCTGATGTGGGGGTGGGGACACCGGGAGCCGCTCCACGGCAGCGGCTGCGGATGAGCCGGGGTGAAGTCGGAAAGTCTGGGAAGGGGGAGTGTGTGCGGCTCCATGCGGACCCCGAGGCCCTCAGCCGAATTTCGGAGGGTGATGCCAGGTGTGGGAGGATCGTTCTTGTCCCCTCCGTGCCGTGTCGCAGCGGGAGCCCCCCGAGGGGCCGGGCGGTGTTTGGCGGCTCCGGTTGTGTTTGGTGCCGTGTTTTGTGGCCGTGTAACCCAGCCCTGGAACACTGCAGCATTGCAGCCGTGACCGGGACGTCCTCTTTTCACACCGGGAAGATTTAATTGTGAGAATCGGGGGTGGGGAGGGGAACGCGGGGTCCCTGTCCCCCTCCTGCCGGTGTCTTTAGAGCTGCAAAGGGAGCAAAGAGTGACCGTGGTGGTTTTCCCCAGCAGTCGTGGTTGGGAGGGACGGGGCCTGGAAATGGTCCCGTTTTCCTGTGGGGGTGATGGAGGTTCAGGGGAGCTCTGGTTCCTCCAGTGGGTGCCCAGGGACACTCCCTGTGCCCATTACTGTCCCATCACTGCTGTTCTTCAGGGCCAGGTGCCATCACATAAAGCTGGTGCAGCTCTTTAGGATCTCTAAATAGCCCTGGCCTTGGGGAGTTGATGCTTTTAGGAGTAACAAGCCCCTGCTCTCTGCTGGGACCTTTCCCTGATGGATCCATCCTGAGGCCTCCCGCAGCTCCAGTGCTCGGGTTTTCCATCCTTTGTGTGCTTAGAAAGTCTCTGTTCTTCACTTTGGTGTTTTACATGAAACTAACAACGTGACCAAAGGGTTCTTGGATCATTTTAACACTTTTGGGTACTTCTGCAGTGTTGTTCACCCAGGGTGGAGGACCCGGGCCCATCACAGAGAATTTAATCAGTTATATAAGCCGGTATGTATGGCTTGGATGTAGCTCATGGTATGGATACCGTAGTGCTCAGTGGAAGAAGTAAAACCCTGTGGCATTTTGGTGGGAGGAGGTTTCTAATGGGCAGGAGGGCGAGCGATCACGTGCCCCAGGAAATGGAGCATGGCCGTGCCTTTATTCTGTTAAATAAAGCAGAAACAAAGTCAGCACTCAATGGAAATGAAGTCGCTTCAAAACATAAATCACTGTATCATCTTCCTCCTGTGCCTTGCCGTGGCTGTGCTCGGTGGTGGGGCTGCCCGAGTGTGTTTTTTCACTAAAATGCCCTGATCTGGGTTTCCCCCTCGATGGAGAGTTGCTGTTTTCAGTGGCTGAGGGGAGCTGGCCCTGGTGGCCCCGTGGGCTCCTGCTGTCACATGGTGGCCCCTGGGTATCGATCACCTCCCCCTGAAGCAGCTGCAGCTCCATTGACATCCACAGATAGACCGGGATCAATAATTTATTGTGGAGTTCAGAGCAATGGGCTGGCTTAGGGCAGGAGCAGTACAACAGCAGAGCAGCTTGGGAACAAGCACAGGGGGAGTAATTTCAGGATCCACCCAGAGGAAACGATTTGATGGCTCACGGTGATGGTGGGGTGGAGAGCTGGTCACTGTGGGACCCTTGGCTGGAATTTGATGGAGTTCAGGAATGCTTGGACTGTCCCTCTTGTGCTTCATTGTCCCATTTCTGTGCAGAGGTGGAGAGTGCAAGTAGGAAAGAAGTGGCTTCCTGCTGCAGGAAAAATTACAAAACCTCCCTGACATCAGCTCTGGTTTTTTAACACTTCACCTATTCTTGTGGCTTAAGGAAACGGTTTTACCTTTCAGGAGGAGTTTGTTCACACAAAGAGTGGTCAGGCTTGGGAAGGGGCTGTCCAGAGAAGGGCTGGACATGGCTCTCAGTGCTCTGGGCTGGGTGACAGGGAGGAGATTGGTCACAGGTGGGACTCGATGAACTTGGAGGGATTTTCCTACCTCAGTGATTCTGGGATTCTGTTGTGAAATGCTGTCCCAAATTTAGAGCAACTTCTGCCTTCCCTGGGCCTTGTCCTGTAACTTTATTCCTGCTAATGGAGCACTCCAGCAGATGGGAGAATTTTGAGGAGAAAGAGCAGCCTTGTGGTGCTTGGGCAGAGCACAAAGTTGGGACTTTGCTCCTTCCTGAACAGAGCCATTTCAAAATTCAGAGGTTTTGCTGCCCTCTAAAAGTCCCATTCCGTGCTTCTTGTACCTCTGCCCCAGCCAGAAAGTGTGAGGAGTTGTGGTGGTTTTAGTTTATATCGTTTTATTTAGTTATGTATTTATATTTAATTATAATGAAGTCTGCTGAGAGGTGATTTGGGGAGGAATGTTTGTTGAGTAACACTGCTGAATTGTCCAGGGAGTGGTATTAAAATTACAGGAATAACTATACAGGTGATTTTTAAAGTTGAGGAAATCAACCCTTCACGGCAAGAGAAGGGAGCAGTGAGTTGTGGAGAGGGGGAGGATCAGGGGGGGATTTTCTCCAGGCTGAGCCTCCTCAGTGTGAGATCCCTGTCACCCAGGTGGGAAAACGATCTGGAAAAGTGAGGTTGGATGGCAAATGTGGCCTCTGCAGTGGTGGTCCCAGTGGGAGAGGAACTTTTCTGGTGTGTGGAGTGGAATCAGTGGCAGGATGAGGATGTCAAGACAGCCAGGAATAGCTGACATTAGCAGAAGGAGGTGTTTGATCAGATACTCAGGGCTGATTAGGAGGGAAGAAAAATGTCACTCCACGGGGAAAGCTGGGTTGTGTTCCAGCACACGTCAGAAATTTTTAACAGAGCACTAGAAGGGGCTTCTTTATTCTCCCCCCCTTTCACATTTGTCCCCTTTGTACTCAAAATCGTCCGAGTGCTCCACAACAAGAAATTAATTCCCCCAAAATTACGGTGTAAAATAACCATTCCCTGACTCCTGTTTTATGGGTCATGGATGGGCTGAATGAACCGAACAAGGAATTAAATTTGGGTTGGTGGCTGAACTCTTGCACAAAAGCTGTTTGGAACAGTTCTTTGTTCAGAAGTTTGGATTTAAAAAGGGGAGGTTGAAGCACTTGAGGTTGTTCAGTTTGTGAACCTCCAAGTTCTGTGTGAGTTTGGAGATAAACGTGAGTCAGCCTCGAGTAAGGACAGAATAGGGAGCTGGGGATTAATTAATTAACTGGGATTAACTAGTTCTGATTCTTGTAATTTACTGAGAGATTTGACTGAAGCCACACAGCTACTGGGAGAGAGTGAGGACCCTGCAGGAATCGATCTTGAGTCGGTTTTCATTAAAGTGTTGTTAAATAATTACATTTTCTGCGTGGCCAAATTTTCAAGGCCAGGCTGGGCAGGGCTTGGAACAATCTGGGATGGTGGAAGATGCCCCTGCCCATGGCAGGAGGTGAAACAAAATTAACTTTAAGGTCCCTTCAAACACAAACCATTCATTTGGTAATTCTGATATTTTTTCTATTGCTGTTGATTGCTTCTTCTCTTCTCTCTGTACATGTCTGGTAATTTTTTTTTTTTTTACCTTTAGAGGTGTGTCTGTCCAAGTTTGGGTTATTTCAAGACCACGAGCACTTCCCTGGCCTGTCCCAAGTCTGCCCTTCTTGATCCAAGCACCTGGGAACTTCCCCAAGATTTTACCTAGGGTGGGGAAACACCCAACACCAAGCAATAAATGCTGCTGGGCAGCGAAAATATTTCCTTTTCCTTCCACTTTGTAGCATCAAAGGTGCCATGAGAGCTTTCCTAAAGGAAAGTCCCTCCTTCACTGCTGCTGGTCACAACACTGACCCTTCCCCATTGCTAAAATTGGCCACTTGTGGTCACAGGACTCACAGGTGGAGCTTGGAGGCCCCTTCCATGGGGATTTCCCCATGGGTGCAAATTTTGGGTTTGCCTGAAGCTTTTTTAGGCTCTCCTGCAGCAGGATTTCAGGGTGCTGTTCATCTGTTTTCCTCCCTGCCTCAGTCCTCATGTTGGA